AATTTCCCAACCGTCGCTGGCCATCAGCGACGGTTGGGAAATTTGTGGGCTTGTTTGTACTTAACTGCTTCGAGAGTTGGCAGGTCGTGACGCTGTCTTCCGTTAAGGGAGAACAACGTGTTTCAGAAGCCATATATTGAAGAGGCTGGCTGTGGGCGCGAGTGAATATGTTGTAGGAAGTGTATCGGCTTCATGGAGACTGGCTGTACTCCAAGAACATGCCTGATAAAGCCGTAGAAATGTATATAAAGACGATCGGTGAGTGTTCCAACAATTATGAGCTAGATTTGTCAGTTCGAACCAAAAGGACTTAAGGGTGGCTGTGTATTTGCTGAACCCCTGTGTGAAAATGATTTAACAGGATTCCTGGAGCCGTCTGCGGTTATTCAGAAACTACTCGATGCCCAAGAATTGAGGCATCTTGCACTCTACTTGCTCCACCTACACCTAGCAGGTTGCGCCATGCAACAGCATACGCTTTTGTTTTTCAAGTGCACTTCCAGGTTGAAAGACGATTCGCTCCTCGCCAGTTTCCTGGAAGACCCGCGCATCAGCAAGACTTGCTGTCTCACGGTTGCACTTAACGAGTGTCGATTAAACGGTCAGTTGCAAGTACAACATTCATACGGTTTGTTTCCAGTGTTTTGTGGCGGGTGAGTTGGCATGTGTGTATTCAACTCATGGAATAGCGTATTTCATCAATTTCAGAATTAAGGCACTCGCCTTGGAAAGTATGTTTTCTGCACTGTGCAGTCCACTGTCTGGCCGCTGGCGATGCGTACACCTGCACATTTTCAGCAGCAGGGATACATAAGTAGACTTGAAAGCCGCATGCGAGCAATTTTCGCTCAGGAGACACGGAACTCGCTTGCAGGATTGCCAGTCGTCATGGATATCATGACGAGCACCTGTCGTTGCTCTTAGAAACTCAGTGAGCAACATGGCATTCTAGAACAGACACAGATGAGAAAGTGGCTAACTCATGGCAACGTATTTTGCTGCAATGGCTGGCATGGCCTCGGAAGCCATCCAGTACTCCTGTCCATTTTACCAATTCTCAGGGAATTTACAAAAGCCGTCGATCTCTTGAAGCAGGTTGATGCGCCAACTGCGTGCTCCCTCTTGCTAAAACACGGCAGCACCCTCCTCAGGCACAGCGCAAGTGACGTGCTTCTCCTCTTGAGCCAGTTTATTAAGGACTACCACACCAGGTATGGGCAGCCATGGTGTTGATGCTTCCAGCCGCGTAGTTGGCGGCATCGCCCGTGTGCATGCCTTTTTCTTTCAGTACAGTATGCCTTTTGGTTTCAGCCCATGAGCTCTTATAGCCTCTTAGCACTTGTTCGTGCTTATTTCCCTTTTCGTATCATGCAGCGTCGAGGTTTTCATCCCGCTCTTTGTGGATGACTCTGATTTGCTTCTACTCTTTCTTTCGTTGTTACTGCATGGAGTGCCGGTGGCGAGGCGCTTAGTTCCGCAGCACGAAGCTCTTTGCATTAACTCAAGATTGAATGCGGCAATTGAGGAGGCACGTGTGGCGATCTCTGCCAATCCATCAATATTTGGGTGCACCGCATTTTCCTCACTTTTGGAGTTGCTGCTTCGTACGCCTGTACACTTTTTTCCCTCAGGGAGCGCTGCAGATGTGGGATGTGAGACGGGCAGGAAGAGCTTACTCACTTTGAGTGCGAGGCTAGTTGCATCAATCTTGTGTTTCCAATTTCAGTCGTTGTCGCCTTTCCTGTTCCATTATGAGATTGCATACACTAAGAGCTTTCGCTGCGCCATGTAGCGTGTTAGGCACATTGTATTGCCACCAAGAAAGAGATAGTTCCGTCATGGCATACAGCGGAAAATTTTGGGGTTGTGTTGGATATTTCAGGTAAGTGGCACGCGTCGCATCTTTCTCATCAAGGAGAGAGTGGAGGTGCGGACAGTCTGGTAGATGGCCATCGCGGTTCTCAAGGCACTGGTATTGAAGGAAAATCTTTGGAAATGTCGTCCTTGCGCACGGAAATACTTTTGAAAACTCTTAAGAGCCGATCAATGGTGAGGATATTTTGGTTCTGGTTTTTCTACGTAGGTTTGGGTAGTTTTACCTTGGCAGGGAGCATCCACTGCGTGCTTGCTGTTCGTATTTATCCAGACACATGAAGAACAATTCCGTTCAACTGTACTATGCACGATTTTTGGATTTGAAGAAGGAGTGGCACTTGAGTGCGAGAAGCGGGATGAGCTACAGCTTCCAGTCGCGTACTTCGAAGCCACCGATGACATTTCAAGCCTTCTTCGGTTCTGTATGAAAAATGGATCTAAGGCTCCCATACTGTGGACACAGACATTGAACATACTTGCTTCGTGAGCCAACTCTTGGCCGGCTATAATGCTTGCTAGGGGTTTCCCGTTTCGTAGAAGGAGCGTTAAAAAGTTTGCAAACCCACCTTTGTTATATGCCTGTTTCAGTCGAAGAGGGACCGAGCGTCAAATCCGAGAAGTACTCATGCACATCGAGGTAATTTCTGGTTTCGTCAGTACTTGGGTAGATTCTTTTTGGAAGCGCGAAACCAACAGGACCGGCTTGGTCTTCGTTGGGGAGCACTCGGCCCCTGGCTGTGTCGTTGCTTCGTATTTGCAGCGGTATCGCCTGTTACCACCTTTGACAGTTTTGGAGATTTTGCAGCAGAGCCCGGCAGTCACACTGGATGCTGTTAAGGTATGCGTGCCCAGTTTTGGATGTCGCTGCCACGGGCGCGTCATGGAAGCCCAAAATTTTTCTCGCAGCAGCGTGTTTAAAAAATCATTAGTTTACCGGTGGCAGCTCTTTATGGCAGCCTTGTTTTTCTCAGGACTACTTCCTGCGAGCGAGTGATGACCTCAGTGATCAATTGGAACACTCCCATGAGCTTTTGCAAAGTGATAGGGCGGAGGTTTCGCACATGGCGGAGGAAATTGAACGTTTCAGGAACCAAGGTGAAACCCGAGTGGTAGTTACGCAGAACACTGCCTCAGCTGCATGCACTGACGCAGACCTCGGGGGATGCGTTAACGGTTGCGTTTACATCAAGCATAAAATAGGTGCAGCCGCAAACGCTTCCAACCATGTTAGCTTGTTGAAGCATTGGTTGTCACGCCTTTGCATGGGAATGCATTGTCATATATACTTTGCTTCGATGCTGCAGCCCAAGTTTTCGACTCAGAACGTTGCGACTTTTGCTTCCTTCCAATCGAGCTCCCTTCCATTCACTTTCGCTGTGGTCACTCGTTCCACATCTACTGCTTGAGCAGCAACGGCGATAACAAAATGAGTGCAGCTCAAGCGTCCGGACTGTCTCATTCTTCATACTTGTGTGCTATATGCACGCCTCAGTTCAACGCCAAACGGGTACAGCCAGGCATACAGAGTACTTTTCGAAGCTGTCGCGGCCTAGTCAATGGATATTTTTGGCTATGAGAATCCTGTTAAATCGTACCAAGCCGGTGTGTTATGTTATTTCTCAGTTGCTGCTCACGCAAAGGGAGGCAGAGGCATGTAACACAGATGACTTCTTCAAGTTTCTCCGAGGGTCAACAGATGGATTTGACTTTATACTGAGCTGTTTCGGCCGTGGCTTGTTCCCATCGCCACTGGTGAGCAGCGCCAAAGCTGGTGGATTGGTTTGCGATTCAATTAGGACAGTGGCAGTCATTCATTAATGCTAAATTTTGGGAGTGGTTTTCTCTGCAGACAAAAATTGACCCCACCAAAGACCAAACAGGGCTAGATTCTTTAATTCGAAATTGTGCTTGCATGAAAGCAAGCAGAAAAGTAGATTTGCTTCCGGAAAATTTTCAGTATCATTCGTTGCGCGTGCCTGGGCCGTGGGGTCTGGACTCATCTCAAGACTTTCCAAGCATCTTTCCGCACCAGACAACCGACAAGCTGTGATTTCATGGTAGCAACTTTTGAAAAGTGGACGGTAGCTTCTAAGTGCTGAACAAACCATGTATTTGCTGGAACTGTTCAGCGTAAAAGACAGCAAATTACATTTGTTGTCAGGTTTCTTGCGAATCCTTTTCCTATCAAAGGATTTCGCTAGACAAGCCTAAACGCCTGCCTTGGTGTACTGTACACATCAGGTAACGATTTGATTTGCTGTCAACCGCAACGCTGTCGATTTTGTGGGGACGTTTCTCGTCTGTCTGTAGCATTACAACGCGATAACGAAGGAAATGTTGATCAGTTAATGGTCCCCTTACAGGGAGGTTTAGAACGGCGATGAAAAGCACTGTAGCTGTGTAAGTTGCATGCTCACAATGGCTTGCGTCCGCGAATTGGCGGCTTGTGCACGTGGGCTCTGTGCGTTGTGCACAGTACGCTGCATAATACTAAATGAGAATTGTGGCAGCAGACGAGCGGGCGGCTGCTCGGCTGTTCTCCTCGCTGGAGACAAATCTTCAGCAGCGAAGCGTCACCAGTTCGGCCATCTTCACCGCTATGGAAGGAGAATCAATCCTGTCGTCTGATGCTCCATTTTCACCCCTCAGGACTGAGGCTGGGGCTGGGAAGTATTACGTTTGAAGGATCCAACTTGTGTCATTTCTTGTGTACCTCCGGGCACAAAACCCTGCTTTGCAAATTGTGAAGACAGTTGGCACACCAAGGGGCTCATAACTGCAACGTTCTGGGCATTTCCTGACAGGATGTCGCTCATAGTGGTAGCGGGGATACCAGTGACGTCAGGGTCAGCCCATCCAGGAGGCACGTGGCCACCAAAGAACTTTTCGAGACCAGAAACGTCACTTGTCATGATGCCGTTCGAGAGTGCCTTCACAAATTCTGGGGCTTCCATGTTGGGAAGGGGGACGAACTGGTGGATTTCTATGGCGTGCAATTTGAAGGAAATCGGGTCAAGCTCGCCGCCATATTCGGGGGGCTTATTCACTGCGCCGCGGTAAACAACAGTTGGTTCCAGCTCGTCAGACTGCTTTTCCTTCTCTTCTGGAACCCCCCCAAGCTCTGGAATCGCACATGCAGCGTCATCACAAAGCAATGCTATGGGCGTGCGTGCATCCTGAGACCGGAGAAAACAGTGCCCAATACTTTACGCGAGTCCTTTCGCTGCAAGAGGAAAGACCTACAGTCTTCATCACATGTTTCTCACCTGTAGGATTTGGCTGTGGTTCACCAGCGACAGCGGAACCTTGGTTCTGAAATGCGGCAGCGAAATCTGATGGCATGTTTTCGGGGTATCCGAACTTGCTGACTTGGGTCGGCGTCTCTGGCTCCTCCTTTTTTCCAGTCAGCCAGCTCCAGAAGCTGGGTTTTTTGTCGTTTAAACGAGCGCCACTGCTCTTTGACTTCTCAGACGCACCAACCTAAGAAAAGCACCCAGTAAACAGAACAGCGTCAACATAAGCGATGCGTATCGCAGGGAGGCTAGAGCATTGCTCACACTGCGCGCGCCCAAGATTTGCGTATAAAAGCGGGCATTGCTTGCACTGGCGGCATGGAGTCTCACCTGGGGAGTAGGCCGTGGAAAAACTGGGCCCGGCGTAAGCTGGGATAGAGTCGCTTGACGAACAGGACCATCGACAACGCTACTTCCTCTAAGAACGCGTTCTTCCGTGTTCTTCTGGAAGTGCGCGGAAAAATCTTGATTGCCAGGATACTTCACGTTTGCTTCACTTAGGTGCGCGGAGCCTGGACCATAACAAGTAGAACACACTACAGACCCACTGATACTCACAAGCGTTGAGCGCTGCGCGCCGCGACTGCTCTGAGGGGAGAGAGAGTGACATTGTACCTGGGTAGAGCCGTTGTTGCTCGCTGCGGACCGCTGTTTCTACTGTTTTGATATGAGGTTCCTGGTGCACTTTCGTGCAACATGCTGACCAACCGCAGTACGGGTTCGACGTTTCAGGTTCATCTTGGACATAACGAGTCTCCGTGTACGGTACGATCAGAGGAGGGGGGCAGTCCAGCTCCACGTCGAACTTTGGCACGTATTTGTATACTGGGACATCCTGGTACTTTTCCTTCCATTCATATTGCATCACCTCTACCTCCTTGACGACTTCTGTCACCTTGGGGACAATTTTTTCCTTGATGTCCACGACCACCTCCTTCTCCACATAAGTATCCTTGTATTCGATTTGGGGAACTTCTACCTCAATAATTTGTTGCTCACCCTCGTACTTAGGCACGGGCCTCGGCACCTCACGAATATCCCACTTGGGGACAAACTGTGGCGCATAGCCCACGTGGATTGGGACATCGACTTCTCTGCAGGAACATTCAGCAAACTGCGTCTCCCTTTAAGCTCCAAATAGTCTTCAACTGCTAGCACGAATATATGTACTGCTATTAGCGCGGAAACGGGCGGCAGAAACCTCACCTCTCTACGATTTTTTCGCTTTCAATGGCGACGTTCCTCTCGCCACATTCTACATGTACTTTGGGAACATCGTGGACGGCAGATTGGTTGTAAACTTTTGGAACAATTGAATCCTTGACTTCCACTTGGGGAACCTCTATGTACTTATCCCGTTTCTGGATTTCCTGATAGACAGGCACAGGGACGACCGGCTGGTCAGCCTGCAGGCGAATATGTGCGCGCTGCACCTGTTCAGCCTCGCAGCTGACTGCGTCGCAGGTGAGTGACCCGCAAAACGGCACAGTGCCGCATCCGGAGGCTTCTTGAGACATCTTCCTAGCTCCGAGAACGCCAAATAGTGTAATCTCAATGGAATTTAGGACGGGTACGCTAAAATGGGTCCTAAGAACGCACGCAGGACACAGGACTCGAATGAAAATTCATAAGGAAATATGTCAGTTTAGACTTGCCCAGCAGGCTTGCAGTTTCCTCTCGGTAAATGCATGGCCGTCCGTCGAACCAGCCAGTCGATGATACCCCGAGACGGAGAGCACAAAGACAAACAGGAAGAGTCACACAAATCTTCCCACCACAAGAGTCATGCACACATAATCTAGAAACAGTCGGCTTGAACGGAAGCCTTCAGTTTATCACATTATAGTGGGATGGCATCCCGCTCGCGCGATGCATCGCCAGATGGATGAGACGGCGGGCACACATCTTTTGTGCATCCTGAATCCTTCTGGCAGCTTCCTTGGATATACTCCTCATACACGAACCAATTTACTATGCGAGATGACATGAAAATGTATATGTATTTTCTGGGAATCCCATGCAGGCCGAAAATTCTAAAACGTCCACGAAGGCTGAACTACGGTGTCGGCGATGTGTTGGTTGTGCAGAACCCACCGAGTTAACAATGATCTTCGACAAGAGTCTCTGATATTCCACCGCCTTCGAGGATAAGTTCGTTTTTTCCCCTCAAAGAACAGTTTCTGTGAAGTCATGGAAGTGGCTCAGCCAGGCAGCGAGCTTACCCACAGCAAGCCAGGGCTTGATGAGCATCGGCGGCTGCGACGACGACCACCACCCAGCCCTTCTGAGTTTTCTTAGTCACAAGAGCTCACTACAGTAGTGATAACCCACACCAATCAAAATAATCATTACTCAGGAGCTCAAAAAAGTTCCTATTCCCCTCAAATTCGACTCTACATCGGCCTCCTCATGCACCTTGCTTTATGGTCGTTAGCCACAGGGACTTGGTCAGGCAAGAGATCAGTTTTTTAGAGCCAAAGTTGCCACATCAGCAAGATACGTTGGAATCGAAGTGCTTGTAACTTTTACTTTTTAGTGGCTAGATATGGGGTTTGAGCAAACTGCAGTGGTTCAAGTCAGGTTCCTGCTGAGCTGCGGCTGTCCACGGCCACGACGGTTGAACCCCGAGGCGATCGCAACCTCCTGCCATGTCTCCCTGAAGAGAGCTCACTGACTCCAAACTTCAACATTTTGCCATTTATAAGACTTTCGGATATTTAGAAAGACTAGGAAAGCTATTTTGAGCCCGTGAGTGCACACAGACTGCATCTGCTTATCCCACTACAGTGTCGCTGCGCTTATCCCAGCTCACAGCGAATCCGAAGCTCACTTTGTTCCGCAAGTTTTCCTGCTCTATAAATACGTTTTCCTGTTGCTATACTGTCTTCTTTCAGCCGTTGTATCTCTATACGACAAGATGCCGACCACTGAGGTGACGCTGGTCCTAAGTGACTGGACCAAGGGCAACAATGGGAAGAAGTTCGAGCTACCCCATATACAGATGACCTCGCCTATAGTTGAAGTGAAAAAGTCTGTAATTCAAGCTTTGGATGCCTCTGACTTGAAACCAGAGTCCATACTACTATTCATCGGTTCTCTCGTTTTACGGGACGACAAACTGCTCAAGGATTACAACAAGTCTGGCAGGTCAAAGCTATCGGTAGATGTGTACGAACGTGTGGATCTAAATCTCAAGGTTAAAACTCTCCAGAGTGAGTGCTTCCTCCTCTGTGTAGGTTTTGGTCCTGCACCCCTCACTGTCGGCGTTGGAAGCCAAGCCTCCCTTTATGCCTGTCTGTGCTCTCTTGAGGAAACAAATTCCACGCAACTAGTTCTATGTGTCTGCAGACTGTGGAGCGGGAGCGTGCGTCTGCATTCCGATCTGGTCTTTCCTTTGTCGCCAGACAATAAATGTGACCATCGCCTCCCATGAAACAGTGGGCGACCTTAAACAAAGAGTTGCCGAGGAACTAGACGACCCGGACAGGTAAAACAGGTCGCGAATCGTTATAGACGCATTTCTATTTCCTGATTGCTGTTTATTACGACTCTTGTGTACGTCGTCACTGAGGTGCTTGCGATCGATTGTTTATTCCAGGTATAGCGCGGATAAGATCAGGCTCACATTTAACAACAACATGTTGTTTGACGACTCACAAGTCCTGAAGGACGTGGGGATGAAGAACAATAGCACCGTAACCATACTAGTTGATTGCTGTTACTGGGCGAAACCGCGCAAGCAGGCCAATAAGCCGGCTGGGGATGCTCCCCCGAAGGAAGAGAAGGAAGCAGAAGGTGAACAAGAACAGGCTGCAGTCGAAGGCTCCGCCGTAGATCCGTCAGTAGAGCAAGTTCAGGGGTCAGTGGAAGGTAATGGGGATGATCCCCAGAATAACACGGAGCAAGAAGCCGAGTCGAAGCCTGCACCGCCTTCAGAGTGATAGGCGCTTGGCACCCCGCGTATAAGCAACAACATAGACGTCCCAACTGCGCAAGCCTGCTACGTAGGCTCTGGAACAGGTGTTTTTCTGCAGCAGCGTAGAGCTCCTGCGTCACATTTTTAGTGGCTTATCTGCAACGCAGCCCATTCCGTGTGCCTGTGTCCTCCATTTCTGCTCGCATTGCGAGCCTTGTGCTTCAAAGCAATGTTACACACTTCCACTTCTGGTCAGCACTTCAGAGGCCAGAACAAAATGCAGAATCTTCGAGGGGCTTGTGGCTTATCTGCAGCACATCCTTTTCTGTGTGTCTCATGCCCTCTATTTCTGCTTGCATTTGGAACCCTGCGCTTCGAAGCAATGTTGCGCACTTCCGTCTCTAGAGAGCTCTTCAGACTTTCTCAAAGACCAAAACTAAAGGCAGAAGCTCCATACTTCTGCGAGGCGTTCACAAACTATTCAGAGATTGTCCCTACTTAATTGTGTATCAGCATCATTCCGCTTATTATTGCTTTGCCGTTCTCTTTAGCAATCACAAGCAAGCCATTCAAGCCACTGTGGCCAGTTCCATCAAAAGAGGGATGGAGACTCATGGTAGGCTCTCACTGAGTTGCGATGTTAAGACTGTTTCATGAGTAGTCCAAACAGTCCAGCCGAAGGTACAAAACAAGTGGAAACTATTTTTCTGGCAAGTCTTCTTCGTCGCTTTCTTCTTCTGTTTCTGTCGGCACGTTCAATTCCCCCGAATCCGCTTCCATTCCTTCATCGGATGGGGTATATTCAGAGCTCTCTACTGCTTTGCCACTGGTTGCTACTTTCTCCGCCCGCTTTGATATTTCCATTGCTGCTTTAGTTACGGCCTGTTCCTCCGCCTGTGCGGCGGCCTCTTTTGCGAGCTTTTGGGTATCCAGCATAATGCGCTCTCCTAGAAGATGCGTATTCGTGGTGTCAGAGGTATTAGTTAGAACATCTCGTCCTTACCCGCAGGGTGCTCCGTGCCATTCACCTGTTGCGAAGCACGCTTTGTACGAGGATTTGGTTTGCGTTGGATGACGAGCACTTGCCTTCACTCTGATCTTATGATTGGCATCGACAGAGAAATCGACATTAACCGCAGCGTTGGTGCCTTCTTCAGGCTTCTGCGGTGGCTGTTTGGAAGTAGGTGAAAATACCTTCAAAATGTATGCTGAAAAGCTCCAACAACTAACAGGAGGAATGACTTCAAGCTGTGCTTCTGCCGCGTAGTGTAATATAAAGCAAATTGCTGAACGTGGATGGCCGGGATAAACAATACCTCGTTCAGCACCTTTAATGCTCGGCAGAGTCCCTGATATCCCAAAACGTACTCTACAACAGAACACCCATACGCCAAAACCCGTCTTACCCTTAATGCCCATATGCCTACAGAACCACGCCTCAGTGAAAGCTGAGACAGTCAAATGCACTAGAAATGGCTCGTAAGGTCCCCATGCTGCAACAACTCACCGTCGATCCAACTATCACGAGCACTTGGCGAAGTTGCGCAAAGCACTTGCTCTGACGCTCTGTAGTGAAATGCAAGACCTGGTATAGGAGCACGTTTTTCACAACTGCAAGGAGTTGTCAAGCACAGACAGCCCCACAGTTGGGAGAATCTTCAGTTGCTTTGACAGGGAGTTCCACGCCTTCCCAAAAGTAAGTGCTGCTCAGAAGAAAAAGTGGTTGGTTGTAAATGCGGCGGCAGCAGAAGCTAGAAAGTGCCCAACCTTTTGAGCTCTTTGTTGTGGTACAAAGTGAGAGCCGATCCAGTAACTTGCGCCATGTTACTAGTGGGAAATACTACGGCGCAGTGCGGAAGAGGCTGCAAAGAACCGACCTCGAATTATTGTGCAGAAGCTCGTCAGGCTGGAAAGAGCACGCAGGAGTATCAGAAGGCGAACAGCCAAGCCAGCATTACAGACCACGCGCTTACATCAGGAACAAAGATCAGGGGCCCTATTTTCAGAATTTCACATTCTGCAGTGGGAGCCTATAAAGTGCTCAACACGCAGAAACGGAGGGCACATGCCCAGTCATACCTGGCAAAGAGCCTTCTTCACCGCTGGACAAAGATAGCCTAACAGCTTTCACCATCGACTTTATCCGCATTGCTTCACCTGCCGTTCAGCAGACGTCTAAGATGGACCAAGCTCCGCATGAAGAGCAGTTAGAACATACGCTCCTCATTCTCAGCTTCGGCTTGAAGGAGAGCCGCTTGTTTCATGTTGTAGCTAAGCAATCAATGCACGTATGGGTGCAACACTGTAAAGAATCCGTTCGTATCGCTGGCATACGCTCTCAATGTTGACACCTCCTCCGAAGTGCCTGTTGCAACTTCCTTCCCACCGTCAGATGGCCGCTCTGGAGGCCCCGCGCCACTACCTGTTATATTTGTTAAGTAGACTGTGTGTATCTCAGAGAGGTGAGTCCTCACGTTTTGCAGCCGCCAAGATCTGGGCAGCTGAGTGGCGTTTCCGTCGTGCCGACAAAAGCAGCTGGTCGTACCGGTCTGTATTCAACACCTGAACGCTTGCGTTTAGCCAGGCACTCTTAATGCCACTGCAAAAAAATAACCTCGAACTGAGCCCGGACGTCGTCGTGCCTATCAGTTAACGAATCCTCCGCTGCATTTGTATGCACAGACAGGAAGCGCGGGTCACGGGAAACTGCCTTTGAAATCACAAAAATTGCAGTTCTGTGATCCTCCGAAGCTCAAATTGCCTACTGCGTTTCCGTGTGGCCTTATCTGGAAGCCAAATAGTCCCATAATGCCTTGTGGGAAGCTGAGGTCAACGGTTGTTGCTGCACATAATGTTAGCGTCTGGTACCAGGACCATGCCCATAGCTTGAGCATGATTTTAGCCGGTTGATGGCTGATCTCACGCCGCTCGAACTATGCAACAGATCAACGCATGCAGCTCCACGAGAATTGTGTATCTATTTTAAAAAAATAGAGACGTCCTCCTCAAGCTGTTATTTTACAAAGGAGTCCAACAATGCAGCCAACAGGATGACACCAGTGACGACCTTTCCAATGTCAAATATCTGATGTGCCGCAGAAACAATTATATTTCACGTGAAAGACCATGATCCGTCTCACGGACCTCGCAATTGTGAAGCAATGAGGCTGAAGGCTAATTCAAACGGGTTGTGCCTCGCCATGTGAGAGTTTCTATCTTTGGTGCGGTTGTACACCCCAGCACCCAACGTGGGATGCATACCCCACTAAGTAAATAAACCATAGTTGACGATTCTAAATGATTCAACAATTCGGAGAAATGCGTCATCCAAAGATCCTGCTGCGCCTATTTCTGCATGATTCCCATGTCCGTCCGCAGTTTCAGCTAGTCTTTCGTTCATGGAGATGACTATATCCGCGCGGTGCTCTGAATGGAACGTAGACAACATACGCCGAAATGCCTACGTAAATGGCATGAGGCAAGGCAATGAACTTCGACCCCTCATGGAATTGGGTGCTCAAGACCCCATGACAACTCATGAGGAAACCCATTTCCAGGTTGTACCGAACACTGCGAACCTGGGATTCGTACGATTGCCAGCCGCACCAGTACGTGGTCAGGCCTCGCAGCACGTTTCTTCTGAACTTGGAACTCCCCCTTAAGAAATGCAAGTGTGCTGTTGAACAAAAAAAAACAAAGGCACACTCCTAGCAATGCCCAGTTTGTCGGCTGCACTTCATTTGGTCTCTACAATCCAAACGGAATTCGTGAAAATGCGTGGGTGGTATTGTAGGACAAGGACAGCTATTCTGAATGCTGCAATTTTTCTGGACATCCAGTACATTCAAGTTTTCTCACTGTCCTTGCATAGGGGGCTGTTCCTTGGGCACAATCGATGTATCCACGATTCTTGAAGACAGAGAGGAGTTTTCAGCCATGAGGTCGTTGAAAAAGAACCTGTTACGATCCAAAGCTCCGCCCACAGAGCTGTACTACATGACATGAAGACGGGCGCGTACCGCGTATCGGCTAAGCAACATTGAGCGAGCACTCTGCAGACAATGTCCCCAATGATGTTGCCTTGAACATAAGAAAAATGGATCGACCCACTCGGCAGCCTGTGTGTCCGGCACTGGTTGATGTTCCAGTATCTCGATGATGACACTTATGCTCCCATCGTCGTTAACGAACGCCTCTTGCTGGTCAGGAACAATCATTATTTTGCTGCAGTCCAACAGCACGTCATTCGCGGCGTTTGTATTTTTGAGTAAGTTGGAATTTTCAGTAGGCCACCAGTGTGACTATTAAGCAGTAGTCCTAGACGCACACAGCTGCGACAACTGAGGTGAAATGACAGCTGCATACTAAAAAGAAGCCACAGTAAACACACCTACCTCATGTCATCCAAGTATTTTGGAATGTCACAGGTCATTGCGCCTCCGAAAAGGGACCGAATCCAACCGCCATCTCCCCCAGGCACCGACATGTTTGCGTGGCAGTATGTGTCGTAAAGCGCCAAATTTTATACAATTCAGAAATAAAAATAGAGCTTATTTGGGAAGACAAGGTATGGAGACGGCTCTTCGAGTTACGATGCAACACCTCTGGGGTTTACCGTGCGTTACTTGGCATATGGCAGCAGTCGGAGAAACTGGAAGAGAAAACGGTTATAAACAGAAATGACGCTAAAACTGCATTAATAACAAGCAAAAGCATTAGAATGGAAATTCAAGCAATAAAACCAACTGAGGCCGTGAGATCATCAGCGCACGGTTGGAGGCTCCACATTGCACGATGGGCACTCTTATCTGTCCTCCCTTCTACTCGTATACCTGTCATGAGCAGCTTACTGCAAGTCGAATCCCAAATAAGCAAAAGTTATTTTGTTCTGCAAGTGCACGCCGTCTGCCTGATTGAGCAGTGGGCCCAGCTTTCGGGACTGAACCGTGGTTACAACGCCCGTATTGGCATGTTTAGTCTCAATAGCTAATAAATTTCCTGCATTTCCAGTTTATCTAAATCTCCCAGGAGCTTCAGGGCATTCTTGTTTGCTCTAGTTTGTTGCAGTTTTCCCCGTTGCAGTTGTTGCGCTGCCTCCCTCGACCTGCGTGCTGGTTGTTGCAGGGGTTCTAAACAGTGGTGCGGGCTATTTTGTAGTACTGATTCCGTGCATGAGGATCCATACGCCCAGTTAGATATTCTTGAGCTGTTTTAAACGGATCGTTAGCCAGAAATTTGGTTTTTTTTGCTAGCTTCGTTGGCATGTCGAGGTCCGTTTTTTGACGCTGGAAACCCAAATCTCTAGCTTCCCAATTCCCGTGTTTTCTTCCATTAAGTTATTCTTTCCAATTTCATTCGAGATTCGACACGAATTTGCTTTCATCCTCACATAATTCCAGCAGTCCACGCCCGCGGGAAGAAATAGGACAAAAAATTCTTGTCAAGCAAAAGCAACCATCTCACCGGCTAGCTGTTTTTTCGGTGCCTTCGCATGACGATTCATAGTACCGTACTCCTAACAGACTGAGTAGGAAAGCGAGGGGAAGGCTAGGTTGGACGTTTAACAATGAATACCAACTGGAAGCATTTGTCAGGTGCCCAATTTTGTGGAGTTAAGACGTGGTGCCACATAGCTTTCCCGAGATGCAACTGCTTTTTCTCTCTTCTCTTCCTTCCAACTAGACACCCCTACGAAAAATGTAGAGAAGGCGTGGTGGGCAACTTGAGGCAGTGCTTCGAAGCTAACACCTCGCACGAGTTCACTGCTTTTTCATTGAGGAACAAGTTAGGCCTTCTTTTCCATTTCCTGTTCACTACTTGCTCTCTAGTAGCAAGCTTCTGATTCTTTCTCAGTTTTGCAGTCCAAAGCTAAACTGGTTTTTATTTTGATAGTGCTAGTAAGGTTCTGTCTAACTTAGAGGAAAGTTAGACAGAAC